GAATATTATGATCCATCTTACTTTGAATCCACTGGAATTATCCATGAGATAACAGCCCCATACACACCACAACAAAATGGTGTGGCAGAACGTAAGAATAGAGTTTTAACTAAAATGGTGAATGCCATGTTATCAAATTCTGGTTTAAGTCCAGGTTTTTGGGGTGAAGCATTGCTAACAGCATGCCATATATTGAATATGGTGCCTACTAAAAATGGCCAAGTTATCCCATATGAACTTTGGAAGAAAAGAAAACCAAACCTTAACTATTTAAGAGTTTGGAGTTGTAGAGAAATTGTAAGAGTACCTGAACCCAAAAGGAAAAAATTAGGTGAAAGAGGAATTGAATGTATATTTTTGGGGTATGCAAAAAATAGTAAGGCATACTGGTTTATGGTCATTGAACCAAATGATTCAATTAATGTCAATACCATAATTAAATCAAGAGATGTTATCTTTGAAGAGAGTAGATTTAATTCAATTCCTAGACCTAAAGAAGCAATTGCTGAAAGTTCAGAACAAAGAATAGAAGACAAGTTGGAAGAAAACAAGTTGGAAGAAAACATTGAAGTTAGAAGAAGCAAAAGAGCTAGAAAAGGAAGAACATATGGTCTAGAATTTTACATGTTTCTTATTGAAGGAACAAGAGAAAAGACAAGAAAAGCAACTAAATTTTGTTATAATAGAAGCTGATCCTGTGACATTTGAAGAAGCAATTAGGTCACAAGATTCAACTTTTTGGAAGGAAGCCATAGATGAGGAAATGAGTTCCATAATGGGGAATAACACATGGATTTTAGTGGATCTTCCACCAAGTTGCAAACCTATAGGTTGCAAATGGATTTTCAAAAAGAAACTGAAAGTGGATGGGACAATAGACAAATTCAAGGCAAGATTAGTGGCAAAAGGCTATTCACAAAAGCATGGTATAGATTATTTTGATACCTATGCTCCGGTAGCAAGGATTGCCACTATAAGAGTATTAATTGCTTTAGCATCAATTTATAAATTGGTAATTCACCAAATGGATGTTAAAACAGCATTTTTAAATGGTGAATTAGATGAAGAAGTATACATGGAGCAACCAGAAGGGTTTGTGATGCCTAGTCAAGAAAAGAAAGTTTGCAAGCTTATAAAATCCTTGTATGGACTTAAGCAAGCCCCTAAACAATGACATCAAAAATTTGATGAAGTGGTGCTTGCTAATGGCTTCAAATTAAATGAAGCAGATAAATGTGTTTATAGCAAGTTTAAAAATGGACAAGGTGTTCTTATATGCCTATATGTAGATGACATGCTCATCTTTGGTACCAACATAGAACAAGTTGAAGAAACCAAAAGGTTCTTATCTAGAAACTTTTCCATGAAAGATATGGGTGATGCTGATGTGATTTTGGGAATAAAAATTCATAGAGATGGTGATAATTTAATCCTTTCTCAGTCCCATTATATAGAAAAAGTCTTGAAGAAATTTAATTTTTATGATTGTGCAATTGTTTCTACACCTTTTGATCCTAATGTAAGGTTAACATCTAATGATGGAAAACCAATTGCACAATTAGAATATTCAAGAGTGATTGGATGCTTGATGTATGCAATGATTTGCACAAGACCAGATAGAGCATATGTTGTTGGGAAACTTAGTAGATACACAAGTAATCCCAGTTCTTTACATTGGCAAGGAATACATAGAGTCTTGAAATATCTCAAGAAAACTATGTATTATGGCATTTGTTATAATGGCTATCCTTCTGTACTAGAAGGCTTTACGGATGCTAGTTGGATCACGGATCATGAGGATCATAAATCCACAACTGGATGGATTTTCATGCTTGGTGAGGGTGGATTTTCATGCTTGGTGAAGGTGCTGTTTCTTGGGGATCCAAGAAGCAAACTTGCATAACATATTCCACCATGGTAGCTGAGTTTATTGCCTTAAACTCTGCATGTAAAGAAGGTGAATGGTTGAAAGATTTATTTTATGAAATTCCTTTATGGCCAAAGCCAATGTCCCCGATCTCAATACATTGTGATAATGAGGCTACATTAGCAAAAGCTTATAGCCAAGTATATAATGGAAAGTCTAGACATATTGGTCTAAGACATAGTTATGTAAGGCAATTAATTGTTGATGGGGTGATCACCATAAACTATGTGAAGTCTAGTGAAAATTTAGCAGATCCTTTAACAAAAGGATTAACAAGAGAAAAAGTATATAAAACATCTATAGGGATGGGTCTCAAGTCCGTTGATAAAAGTCACACATGATGGAACCTCGACTTAACGCTTGATAAAAACTTCAAGTCTTGAGTTCAATGAGTAAACTACATCATATGAATGTGACTGTAAGTACTCAATTTATTAATAATACCATCCCAAGTGGAAGAGTACTTGGTAACCGTATGAAATAAAAAAGAGGTTGAGTTTTACTCTTAATAGGTCCTATAACAGATTTCTGTTAAAGTGCTTAATGCGGTGGCACTTTTGATGGGATCTACCTATATGAGTGGAAGTGGTGCCACTTCTAGGAGTTGGGGACTTGACTCTAACAACACTCATGAAAATGATACAGGACACATGGCCAGTTTTTGTGTCGGTGGATGCTGAATTCTTTCTTTGGAAAGCTTGAAGTCTTGTGTGTGACATGTGCCCAATTAATCACTTAGAATCGTTGGTTTAAAGCATTAGTCTACCATGCAATTCTGACTAATTTGCCAACACATGTTCACTAAGTGAAAGGTTCAAATCGTAAGATACCTTTATGTATGCATAAGATTTCCAAAACAATTGGTGAGCTATTCTATTTTGAAAATGGTGGGGGAACGTTGAAGAATTTTCAAAATATTTCCAAGATTTGGGTTCGAATCATAAAAAGTTGATTCAAAGTAATTGCACAGAATGCATTTGGGAAAGTGTAACTTTGGTTCGAACCATAATTATATGATTCGAATAATTTACGTAAAACCAAAATCCAAAAAGTTATGATTTTGGTTCGAACCACATTTTTCTGATTCGAACCATTTACGTCAGAATAAGAGATAAAATTTAGATAAGTTACTGAAGAGAGTGGATAACTTTAGAAGGCAAGGAAAGATGTCATTTGGAGTTCAAATCAAACCAAATGACTTTTGGAAAAGTTTTCAACAGATAAATTTCATGATAACTTAGTTATTATCCGTTAATAAACTGATAATAACTGAAAAGGAGAGTTTGTTCACAACAGACATCTTGCCCCTATAAATATGAAGTCATCTCTTCTTCTTCTTTGTCTCTTGAACCCAAAAACAAATCCCTACTATTATCTAAATAAAACAGCCCCTTTTTGCACTTCGATTGCTTCAGAAATCCTTGTACAAAAACTATTGTTTTGTCGCTTTCCAAAGGATGGTTCAGTGGTTGATCTTGCTAGTGCAAAAGCAAGATCAACAAGGCACTTCATTGTATCCTACGAGCATTTTGGGTTACTCCTTTTGCATACCAGATCTGGTGGGGGCGAAATTAGCCTAAAGGAAAGTGGCATTTGCAACACGCCTTGAAGCCATTTGCAGATTTTCTACCCTATTTATCCACAAATTCTAGATCCAAGAAGGGAAGGAGGATAACCTTAGCGGAAGGATTGTCCCACACCAGCGCCTCCCACCATTCTCTTTCTCTAGACTCTATGCAGATTTCTTTGAGCGAAGGAAGTGGAGAGAGCTGTCCATTAGGAAGCACAGGTAGATATAGAGGGATCCTCTTTAGTTTTGGACATTCACCAATTTCAATATTTTGAAGAGAATCACAAACCATTACTCCTCTTGTGCTACAAATGCTCTTTAAATTTGGCAAGTCCATCAATCCCATTCTCTCTAATTTGGGAAGAATGAAAGTAATAGTTTCCTTTCCTCTGTCTGTCATGAGAGTTTCTTTTCCTTCTTCCATTTCTATTATTTCCACCATTTTTGCACAGCTAATAACATAAATCTTCTCCAAGTTTTGGAAAGCCTTCAACAACTCAGATGGAAACAGCTTCTTGATTCTTAGACAATCGGATATTAACAAAAACTTAAGATTACAAAAGATGGAGGGCTGTGTTGGTGCACACGATGTAGATGGAGCTGATGCTGCTTGCCCTTCCACATTCACAAGTACACACAAGTGAGGCAATCTAGTAAGCTTTAAAATTGAAAGCCTACCAAATGGGCCGTAGACTGACGACGATGAGAACAACTCAGGCATGCACTCCAACTTGTCACATTGCTTGATTTGACATGATCTTAAATCTGATAAGGCCTTAAACACAAAAGCTTCGTTTAAGCTTTTCATGCCACAACACTTGTAATCCTCAAGAGCTGAAGGTCATCTGGGAGCAATACAGGATAATCTTTATTGATTTCTATTCCGCTTAAAGTTACCATCTTAGAGCAATCATCATCAGAATCATAATCAGAATTACAATAAGAATCATCATCACTGCCACTGTTACCTCCATCATTATCATCAGTTGCTTCCACCCTAAGTTGATACCAAGTAAGCTTTTGAACATTAAAAGACTTGACAAAATTGTTGAAATCTTGTAGGTCATGAAATCCTTTCTCAAGGAAAGGAGAATCATTGTTTGGCTTCAAGAAGGGAAGGAATATATCTTTAGTGGAAGGATTGTCCCACACCAACGATTCCCACCATCCTCTTGACTCTATACGGATTTCTTGGAGTGGAGGAGGCAGAGAAAGCTCACCGTTAGGAAGCAGAGACAGAAATAAAGGGATCCTATTCAGCATAGGACACCAATCTATTTCAAGAGTTTGAAGAGATGTAGAACCTATTACTCCTCTTGCAGTACAGATGCTCTTCAATTTTGGTAAACACGTTAATCTCAATTTCCTTAATTTAGGAAGAGCAATTGTGATAGTTTCGTTGTTTCCCACTGTTATGGGAGTTTCTTTCTCTTCTTCAACTTCTATTATTTCCTCCAATTTTGGGCAATTGAAAACATCAATCTCCTCCATGTTTTGGAGACCCTTCAGCTGCTCAGATGGAAACAACTTCTTGATTCTTGAACAATAAGATATTTTAAATATTTTAAATATTTTAAGGTTGGAAAAGATGGAAGACACTATTGCTTGCCGTGACGTTGATGGAGCTGACGCTAGTTGCACTTCCACTTTCACAATTACTTGCAAGTCAGGCAATTTTTGGAGTTCTAGAATTTCCAACGAGCTGCAGGGTGAGGACGATGAGAAGAAGTCAAGTATGCACTCTAACCCTTTACAACCATCAATGTCACAATATCTGAAATCTGTTGCCATTTTCCACAAAGTCTCACTTATGCTTTTCACAGTGCTGCAATTTCTAATCTTCAAAATTTGAAAGTCCTTTGGGACTAATAGAGAATAATCTCTTCCAATTTCACTCCACTTAAACAAATAATCTTTGTGCATTCCATACCTGAGAGCAATTTGTTGTAATCCCTCCTGATTTCAAAATCATATAATGACATATGGAAATCAAAAACCTTCACTGTAGCATCAGTTACTCCCACCCTAATCCAGTACCGAGGGAACTTTTGATCCTGATTAAAAGACTTTAAAAAATCAGTAAGGCCTTGTAGGTCATCAAATTGACCTATAAAAGTCTCCAACATCTTCAACGCAATCACCTTTTCTGCTTTCATTGCAAAACTAGTAGGTTTCAAAATGCCTGCAAGAAACTGGAGATGAGTGAGGTTACAAAGTACTCCTATTGGCAGCTCCACCTGATTTGGACAATCTAGATTAAGATATTGGAGATTCACCAACATTTCTAGGCCTTGTGGGACGTTCTCAATCCCCGTCCCATTTAGATCCAACTTCTTCAATGCCTTCAGCTTTGCTAATGAAGGCACATATCTCAAATTCAAACAACGACAAAGGAGGATTACAGTGAGGTTTTCTAAGTTGCAAATGGAATAAGGGAAAACTTCAATCTTGGATGTAGTGGAGATTTAGCAACTTGAGGCCAATCATGTGCATAAAAAAGGAATCTGGAATCTTCCTCCAAAAATGTTTCCCTGCAAAGCCCAAGCTTGAGAATTTTGGACAATCCGGGGACATATTGGAACCAATATCTGTTATTACATTGTTTCGGGGTGAAACCTTCTCAAGATTTTTCGTCCATTCACTCGCCCCGGAAAACTTTGTTAGCCACAAACCAGCTTTTGCCATAAATCTAGAACCAGCAATTCGCAATGCCATATCTCTCATCACATCATGCATCCTTATACAATAATCTGAGCCATACTCCACTCTCTCTATCAAACATTTATTTATGAGACTATTTAAAATAACATTGGCTTTGTCATGCATCACTTTTCTAGTCTCGAACTGTTCAATCAGCCCATTGTCAATCCAAAGTTCTGTTAAATTATATCTTGAAATGCTCCCATCTTTAGGATATAAGGAACAATAGAGGAAACAATTCTGAAGCTCTGAATCATTCAAACGGTCATAACTAAATTTCAACCGTTCAAATATCTCATCATCCAACCTTTCACACTCTTTACTCGGTTTCTTAATTCGTACAGAGCATATCTCCATGCAGATATATCATTTTCTCCCCTCATGCTCCTAGCTATGACAACGATAGCTAGAGGTAAACCTCCACACTCAGCCACCACAAGCTTCAAAGTTTCTTCTAAATTTGGAATTTTCATAGGAACATCATGTCCCAATGTATCCAGGAATAAGTTCAAAGATTCTTCCTTTGAAAGTTGCTGCATCCTAATAACTTGCTCACAATCAATATAATTACACAGCTCAATCGATCTGCTTGTAATAACTACTTTGCACCCATTTTGCTGTGTTGGTTTCGGGATTCCAACATCCTCAAAAGAAAACCTTTCCCAGGCATCATCCAAAATCAAGACAATATCACTCAGCTCAAAATCTGTGATAATGTAGCTGCATGCTGCTCCTCAGGCTCATTTTCTAGAGCGGTTTGTTGCATGTTGAGAGCAATGTTATCTTGCAATTTGACAATGCTGACTGGATAGGGTACAGTGGCCCAAATCACTTTATTAAATTTTGACTCATTTAACAAGTCGTTGTGGATGTTCTTCATAAGAGTTGTTTTCCCAATTCCACAAGGCCCACAAACTCCAATCATTCTGACATCATCCTCCATTAAGTACCCCCAGATTTGTTCCTTCACATTGGTTCGACCTCTTGCATCCTCTGCTGGCAATCTCATTCCACTGCTTGGAGGCTGATCAATTGCAATATCATCAGGGAAGCTTCCTTGTTGAAGAATAAGTTCTTTTACTTCTTCGATTTTCTTCTAAACATGTTTTCCAAGGGAGCCACGACAGAGGCATGAAACATTTGGAAACTTCTGTTCAACAGTTTGAATGTCAGTGTTGATTATTTGTACCTTTTCAAGCCAGTTTATCACTTCTCTCCGCACCACCTTTCTCGAGCAAGTCTCTACATTCTGTTTTCTCAAATTTATGTCTTCCAGTCGATTGTTTAGATCTCCCAACACCCTTCTCAGTTCTTCCATATTTTCTTGAAGATTTCTATGATGTTCCAAATGCTTGCATAGTGGAGGCATTAGGCAACTCAACAATTCGATGATTGGCCCAACAAGATCCATTAGGTTGGTGCCTGAAAAAATGAAATAAATCTAAAGTCTGTCTGTTCCTTCTGCTCCTGTACTGAGATGTGAACTGTTTTCATTAACTAAGCTCAGGGCGGAGCTTTATTATTGTTTGGAACATATAAATTAAAATTTGTAATAATAATTTTGTTAAGAATTACGTAAAATTTAAATAATACAAGAACATAATTTTAGGAACTCGATAAAAATGACATGTAATTTTGATTTAATATGATTCTTATTCTCATTTGAAATCTCAATTCTCAAAAAATTCATCTTCGATATATGTATGCATATATAAGTCTAAGCAATAGTTTACCTCTCTTAATATCAATTTCTAACTCTGCCTCTTCTAAGCTGTATGTCATTTTCTAAAACTTATACAATCGGTAGGAAATAAAAACTTTAATAATGAAATACTTCACTTTTTTTATTGATAACTTTAGTAAGTACCCTATTTTTTCCTAACTAAAAACTTGTTTCAAATTCTCATAAAAAAAATTTGTTTCAAATTAACTATTATTTTTTAATTTCAAGATAAATATTTTTTTTTCCTCTTTAACCTTGTTTTTATTCCTTTAGTTTAATTCACCATTATATAAGTCTATTCTATATGTAATTAAATACTTAAAGATGATAGATATGAATTTGTTAAAGTGTAGATTAGCTATGTAAAATCAACTAATTAAATTATCTAACACAATTTTCACCAAAAAAATTATCTAACCAAAAACTTAAAACATAATACATAAAATAAAGTGTAGCCAAGAAGTATATCCCACTAAGTTAATTCATAAAACACCAGATACGCAAAACAAAAAGAAATCTCTACTCCTTCATAACTCATTTATCCATTGACCCAAAATATGCAAACTTTTCCAATTATGCCGCTATCAAATATTAAATCATGATATAAAAATTATCAAAAACAAAATATATCATATTTCATATATTATTTTTGAATTAAAGCAAATTAACAAAGCAAATCACCACCTCAAAATTTTATTTCAAAGAACCAACTCAAATTTAATAGTTATTGTTTTTTGAACTTTTTTGTAATAGGGCGAGTTCGAAACCAGTCCAGGAAAAAAGGATATGCACTTTTTCAATTACTTTATCTATTGAGCCACAAGAGCCAAGTGCAATAGTTATTGTTAATACAATTATTTTTCTATTAAATTATTACTCTTAGAGTCAAACCATAAGTTGATATCAACCATTAAATTTAATTAGTCCGATTTCTCTATAATAAAATTTTGGGATAACAATTTATTTTGAATTTTTTAATTGAGTGCTAATTTGTTTCAAATCAAAAATATTGTAGGTAGATTTGCACAACTAGCCATAAATATGTATAGAAATTTCAATGTATTTAATAAAGTACGTACCTCACAATAAATTATAGATGACAAGAAGCTAGCTGGGAAGGGATGCTCTAACTTGAGAAGATCAAATTTTGTTTTCTTTAGATTGTGATTAATTAATTAGAGCTGGAAAGGAAAAAGATTATATGTAAGATTAGTAAATAAGACGATTCTAGCTAAAACAAAAGGAAAATAGCTAGTATGATTACAATTTACAACAAAAAAATCTTAGATTAAGGAATTGTACCTGCAAGTTTAGCAAAAGGGAAAGAAAGTGGACGCAGGTAACCAAATATAGCCGAGTAAATTAGCAGATCTGCTCAGAAGAGTTGAGGCGGTTATTGAGGGGAATACAAAACTTAAAGACGGGAAGTCAATGAGAAAGTCAATATATTTCTTGGCAGATGCCGGTAACAATGAATAAATGCAAAGGAGGGGCGTCTAATCATTGCGTTTGGCAGGCCAGCGGGTATAGTGTGGATGGTGCCAAAGTCCGTCTAGCCTTTTTTTAATGAAGATGGAAATATATAATTAATATATTTTTTTATAATTAATTCATATTAAAAAATAATAAATATTAATTTTAAATTAATTAACTATAATTGCATCCGGCCCTTTGGGCCAAGTGGTCTCCGAGACCACCTGATGCATCCCCCACCCCCCTGGGCAGGGTTCAACCCTGCCCCATGTAATATTGTTCAAAAAAAAAAAAAAATTAATTAACTATAATTATTTATATATTAATAATATTAAAATAAAAATAAAATATTTCAATTATCTTTAGAGTTAGACAATTCGATAGATTTACTTTTAAACCAAAAAAATAAAAATAAATTCATTCAAAATTTTTTTTATAAATTTATTTAATTTGTACCTTGAAGCCCTTTTAAAGCACAGGATCAAATGCAGGATTAGCTAAAAAATTTGTCCTCTCCCTCCTAATTTCATGTTTGGAGAGCCCTAAGATGAGATAACATTCTCCAAGATTTTATCCAATCCGTTGTTCATTAAATAAATTTAACCCCAGGAAACCCATAGGATAAGGGGGAATTGGATTAAATTTCCTAAATCTACCCTTCTTCTCCTCTGCTTCTCCCTCGTCACAGATCACCGGCGACCTTCTCTTTCCAGATTCTCCTCTCACCGGCCGGTGACATCCTCTCTTCTGGCCGATCATCCTGTCTCAGCGGTGACTCTCTCCCCTACCTCTTCTCTCACACCAATGATTTCTCTCTCCTCTTCTGGTCTGCTCCTGCAAGTTCACTGGATGGACTTCACAGATCCAGTTGCAAGCAAGGAAGGCAGAATCATGTCGGTTGCAACTACATCTGTTTTTTTTTTTTTTTTTTTGGCCAACAACGACATCTAGCACCCTGGGTTGAAGGATTAAAAAGGTTGATGGTTGGTCCCGCGAGCAATAGATCGGATCTCGTAGAGGACGCCGATGATACCCAAAGGTGAATAGAGGGTCGCGGCAAAACCAAAGGTAATAACGAAAAGGAATAGGGCTAGGAGTATTGATTGGGTAGGTTATAAGTAAGTTCCTGGACCACCTTCCTTTTTGAAGGCTCTGGTTCAATTGCATATTTGTTGAAGAAGATGAAATTACTAATTTACCCTCATCTTCTTCCCCCTCTTGTCTCATCCTCTCCTTCCTCC